ATGACCCGATCGGGGGCGGTTTTTCGGGGGCCTGCGTCCTCCTAATTTAGGGAGAGAGGGGCCCGATCGTCAGATCGACGAGATCTGACTTTTGGTTAGAATAATTAGCGAAAATGTAAGCTCGAGATGAGCCCGCGAGTTAGTTGTCGGCACGAGGTCGAGCGGCGGGATCCCATCCGGCGGAAAGGAAGGAAGAAGGAAAAGGAACGGCCGAGAGCGGGAGTCCGAGATCTCCAGAAAGCGGGAATCGCCAAGTCGTAATCATTTTAATAATTATGGTGCTTTGTCTGAAAATTATCGTTGTTGCCGTTCATGTTCTTTTATCTTTTACGGCAGGCGAGAAGGCGGAGGGCCGGAGGCATTTAGCCAACGGGGGCGGTCACTCCACCCGCGCGACGCGAGGGAGTCCCCAAAGACGGAGCGGCGAGACGGCTCTTATCCCGGGACCTATTCAATCAAATAGGGAAGGAGGCCGATCGAGCGCTGCCGAAAACCTGCAACTCTAAACAGGAAAACAACGAATTTGGAAAATTACGGGGCGAGGAACCCGACGATACGGCAATAAGGACAGCCAGGACCGCGAGGATCACAGGACGGCCCTGCGTAACGCGGTAGTACCACAGGTGGCACGATCGCGATTCATCGCGCCGGCGTGTTTCCCGCAGGACTCTTGCTCGGCACTGTTTGGAGAGCTGTACAGGAGGACGCAGGTTTTCTGAGGCGAGAGCGAAAATTATTGGACCGATCAAGAAAAAGCCGAGAGATTCCTGCCGGTGGGACGAGCGTCGTCGACCGATTTTGTTGCCGTTTACTTGTAGATCTAACTAGTAAAAAAAAATTATTGTTTTTAAAAAAAAGTATGTAATTATTTACAATGTATTTTTTAAAACAATTATTTGTTTTTTTCTTTACACTATGACACCATCTTATGTTCCCCTCAAAACCATACAATTTTTGTTCAAAACGTTTTTCTCTAAAATGCTTAGTTTTTGAAAGAAAAGGGGTATACGGGTGGTCTAGGACACCCTGTATATAAGAATTGCAACGAATATTAGGCAACTACTTGGTATTCTGCTTATTCGACAACGTTTTGACTATTCGGCCGAACATCGAATATTAGTCTACTATTCGGCAAAATATTGAACAGTTTTAAATGTAAAACTGAAAGTAGAAGTAGCTAATAGTAGCTAATAGAATTTTACCACCTCAGCCGCGGATGCCTAGTTTTAACATGCTCGAGTATCTAATTTATTTATTTATATATCTAATAAAATAACATTAAATAAAACACATTTATTGTTACTTAATGAAATACATTATGCGGGGAAGCGCGGTCGGGAGTGCCGCGCGCCCGCTGCATTGTTTTCGAATAGTCTGTGTTGAGCCTAAAACCGTGCCTAATATTCGCTGAATATTCGGTTATTCGGCACATGACCTTGCCTAATATTCGGTATTCGATCGAATATATTATTCGTTGCATCTCTAATATATATATGTAATATATAAATTTATTTATAAATTATATATAAATATGTACAAATGTACAGCTTTTCCTTTCTTAATTATATGTTAAAAATTATACTTTTAGGTTCAACGAACTATGTTAGAATTGCTTAATCAATTGGATGGTTTTGAGGCAACAAAAAACATAAAGGTCATTATGGCTACAAACAGAATTGATATCTTGGATCCTGCATTATTACGTCCTGGACGTATTGACCGTAAGATTGAATTTCCACCTCCAAATGAAGAGGCTAGATTGGACATCTTGAAAATTCATTCTAGGAAAATGAATTTGACACGAGGAATAAATCTGAGAAAAATAGCTGAACTTATGCCAGGTGCATCAGGAGCAGAAGTTAAGGTAATGAAAAATTTGACTTATATTTTTATAATACTATTAATATAAGATGCATAAAAAGAGTAAGTATTAAATGTAAATGTAAATTTTTTTTTTTTAGAGAGATATTTTATTTTGAAAGTGCTCAAAAAGAAATTATTAATAAATAAGATTAAATAATAGATAAAAGTTAATATAGTGAATATATAATTTTCAATAGTTAATAGAATAATTAATAGATATCAAGATAGACCTTTTTATTATCAAAAAGAAAGAGAATTTTTGACAAATCTAGCATCTAGTAACTTAAATATATGCATATGTTCTTCAATATAATATTATTTATATCATAGGGTGTTTGCACGGAAGCTGGTATGTATGCTCTTAGAGAACGTCGTGTTCATGTAACTCAAGAAGATTTTGAGATGGCTGTAGCAAAGGTGATGCAGAAGGACTCCGAAAAGAACATGTCTATCAAAAAGTTATGGAAATAAATCAACTTTGCAATTTTTCAATATCACATTTTCATTAATGATTTTTAATCTATCATTACATTATTATTTCATAGTTCAAACAATTCATTTTAACCAGAATTGGAATGCTATGTATTTAAGATGTGTTAAAGTAGGACCTTCGTATAAGGTTATAGCTAAATATTTCGTTAATTAGATACTAATAAAATTTATATATATTAAAACAGTGAAATTTTATTATACAATACTAAATTATTAATTATTGTATTTACAAATTCCACACTATTGATATTGTGTAATTTAAAACAATAAGTTTTAGCTATTACATAGTAATAACAATGTCATTTATTTAATTAATTATAAGATTTCTATATACTTTAAATGGAACAAATTGCTCTAAATTTAAGTACTTCCTTATAAAACATGTAAAAAAAAACTATTTCCTCTATTCTCAGTGTAATTACTTAACTAAACTTTCCTTTTAAATTAAAACTTTCTTATAACTACATTATAACAAAAAAAACGAATGAAAGACAGAATTCGCAATATTTTTATTTATATGTGCTAGAAGAATGGAAATTGAAGGAAAATCTTAAAATAGAGAAAATATTTGATCCCAATAATTTTGAAATAGAAGAAATCAATTATATTTTGTGTCAGATAAATTAAGTTTATTTTATGCAATATAGATGTAAAATTGTGCGCGCGCATTAATGAAAGAATAATGAAGTCTATAATCTTGTTCTTTTTTTGTATTATATACAATCATGAAATAATTTTGCATATAATTCTCAATGTTGATTGAATTTAACTCTGTTAACAACTAAATGCTTCGTAAACATTAGCTCCAAGAATTTTAAACTCATTATTTAATATCAGATATTGAAGCCAATCTGCTGCTATATCTTTTGGTGTCGGATTATCTGGAACTAGACCATTTATAATAGGAATAATTTTGGCCAAAGCCATAGTAGTTTTGTTAATATTTACAAATTCACTTGACCCATTATTTGTAGCTGTTTCTTGTAAGTATGTTGAAATTGAATTTTTGATGTTTGACTCTTCTGAATGTGATGTTTTACGTCGTGCATCATGTCCATTATTAGTTTTAGAATTATTGAAATATACAGATATGTGATCCATTAATAAAACAAATCCAGTCCTGACATTCTTTTGCATTAAATCTTGTACTTCTTCGCTCTCTGATACATCTAGCATCTGATCGATCAATTTTGTATAGATAGATGTGTCATTGTTTTCAGTGTTTTTTTGCAATATATAATATGTAAAATTTTTGACAGGATCCTTTGAATTATCAGCAGATATAGAAGATGTAAGTGCCCAATATATATGTTCCAAATCTCTTAATGTTAATTGCTCTGTCAGAGACAATGAAGCTGTGACCTCAACAACTTTACTTTTTATAAGACTATTCAAATTCTTAATGCTTTCATATATAAAGTAGCTAGAAAGTGCCATGTACTTTGCTTGTACTTCATTCCCAATAATCCCATTGTTCACATTCTGTGCATTTTTATACATATGTCCACTAATCAAAGTAACCTGAATTCGAAGAAACATAACTAGCATTGTGTAAGAATAAATTATTACAGCCGATCGTGTAAATGCTAATATTTTTAATTGATTCCAAGATGCTATTTTATTAGCAGTACCATTTCTAAGCTGATTTATAATAGTCTCTGTATCATTTTCTGTTATCACAGAGTTTCTTAAGTTTGCTGCAAGGGATAATATCATTTGGTTGCATGTTTTCTCTATGCTTTCATAATATTGCCGTTTCTTAGTCTTTTCCACTAACATTTTTATCTCATTATCTTGCCATTCTCGAAGCTTGCGCTGTGTATAACGTGTCAAAAAAATGACACTACTAATAATGATACTTCCAGCTACAAACTTACGCTTATGACGTTTTAAAAATCCCCAAATGCTTGAAAACATGATCAACAGTTTATACAGATCTAATACACACAATATATAAATATGTTACAAACTTTCTACAACTGATAGGAGACAAAGTTTGATTCTCAGAAGATAGTTTTCAGAATGATGAAATCATTCTATACTATCTGATTCAGGTTGTAAATTTATCGCTATACGTTCTATTCTATTTGTGATATAATTAGTAGTGTCAATGAATCTTTCCACGCAATTCACAAGACACTTATGGACTTTGGGTTCTAGACGTGGTGATGGTTTGTCCATACAAGTTTCCCAGCAGATACCTGTTAATTCATGTACCAATCCCTAAAATATTATTAAATTATGTGATCTAATTGTTCATTGTTCTTATATATAAACAAAAGATATATAAAAATATAATTATTGTTTGCAGATAATGGATGTAAAAATAAAAAATAAACTTTAATCAAGATATTCAAGTATCTATACCATTGAGAGAGAGAGATTAAAGTTCAAATATTTATTATTATAAAAATATATAATCAAAGTATTAATAGTAAAATAAATATTCATAGAGTTCTTTTTTTATTACAAAGCACAAAATATAAATAGAAAATATCTATCTACGAATTTATTTGCGCGAATGAAACGGAACTAACTTGAAATTGTTGCTTCTTCGTCTCAGTCTCAATAAAATGTTGTAGTCGATCATCTATGATAACCTGTTTATCCGAATTTTCCGTAAAATTCATACTTCCAATCCCCGTAGTCTCCTTTTTAGTCCCGACTGCTGCCAACCGCAGGTTGGCAAAAAAAGGAGGGAGTATGCGTTTCTTAGCAGCATTAAAGGTGCCATTAAGGTGCCTTTACATGGCAGCGTCAAGCGTCAAGCGTCGAGCGTTAAGCGTCGGCGCAGAATATTGTTGCCCAGAATTATATTTCATTTATTTTATTATATAACAGATGTGTGTGTGTGCGTGTGTGTGTGTGTGTATGTGTGTTATTATTAATCAAAGATATATTATGAAACGTTACTACTCTGGCAATGTAAATTAAAATTAAATTAAAATACAAATGCGGCAAAAGATTTTGGATGGTTGAAATATTCAAATAAATAAGACACAAAAAGGGATTCACAAATGACAAAACGACACAGTTTGAAAAACTATTGTTAAAAGTAGGAAATGATTTAAAGGAGCAGTATGTTATAAACATGCAGGAAAAAAAATGAAAATTATATCCCATAATCCTTCCCATACAGCACAGAACGTTGCAGCAACATTGCAACATTGTAGTAACATTGCGGCAATGTTATAATGTTGCTGCAATGTTGCTGCAACGTTCTGTGCTGTATGGGTTGATTAGATTTTAATATTTTGCTGGGGGATAGTAACGTTTTATACATATTTTGTTTAATAATAATAATATCTATTGTGTATAATGTAAATAAATATCAATTTTCAGTATTAGTAATGTGTATCAGAACATAATTTTTTTTATCTCGACCGAATTCATATCACTCATCACGCTATTAGCCGCAAGAAGCTGGAATCTATCTCATTCAGATTCCTGCGCAATGATTTCTGCGCAGACGATCGATGCTCGATGCTGCCATGTAATGGCACCTTAAAGTTAGGGCCACCGCACAAGCTTTTCCGTAAAGCCCGTTTTACATTGATCGCATGTCGCCAGTTGCAAGCAAATCGACCAATCACAGTCGAGTATTCCGTCGAATATTCGACTGTGATTGGTCGATTTGCTTGCGACTGACTACATGCGATCAATGTAGAACGGGCTTAATGCATTACGTTACGTTAAATACTGATTCTAAGGGCCACCGCACAAGCTCTTCCGTAATAACGCGTTAAGGGCATTCTACAATGGCAGTAATAAGGCTGTAGGAGTAAGAGAGTATACTTTTAAGAGCAAATGGGAATTGCCCCTTTCGTTACTCCC